CACTTAAGGTGACCACGAGGAAAGGATTCTCTACCAGCTCAACCAAACAGCTCGAGGTTGGCACAATGAAGCTGAGGCTTGTATGGGACCCATGGAAAACCAAGTTCTCTAAGAGGCTGATCAAACTCGAGATCAAGACCATCCTGAGACTGCCCCAGAGATCATTTACCCGATTCACAAAACTCTGGAAATCCATGTTGATCTTATTCTTCCTATCCCTCTCCCTTTGCTCTTCTTCAATTTCGTCAGGGTCATAAGTGGATCTCTTAGCCCCTCCCAATGTCTGAACTACATCCATACCTCAACATAAAATTGTACATCCTTGGTTTTTGTTTCCTACCATTATGTGGTTGTGCAGATGAAGAAGGAGAGTGATCATCTCCTTCTCAGCAGGCTGGAAGAATGCATGCTTTATGTTTCCAAACATGATCTCAACACGCTCGTCAGCTCTAGTGGTAGAATACCGGAAACCGTTAGCATGGGCTTCAAGTGTTCCTGGAATCTTTCTTCCACGACCAAAAACAGGACGTATCCAAAGGTCAGACAACCGTATAGGCTTGAATCTGTTCCCTGCAAGTTGAAGTTTTTCTTGAGTGACCAAGGTAGCTCTCTCACTTCTCAGATTCCCTGGCCACAACATGCCGACGAAGTGTTTTAATCTGTTGTACCACTTCACTTATGTGCCTTGGATCCTTGGAGCGAAATGAGACTTCTTTTAGATATTGCTCCTTGATTCTTTAGAGAGTTTGAATCATGAGGGCTAAAAGGAGTCCCTGGAACATTAAATATAATCCGGATAAAGCAATTCCGATTGGTATCCTGCTGGCTGGAAACTGTCCTTATAGTAGCCACATGGAAAGGTACCATGCTACCATAAATTGGCAAGAGCACAGCCTCATTCTTTGATCAACTTGAATCATAAATCTCTCTGTGGGGGCAGGTCGTTCACATTCTTATAGGCTATCAAATCATTTGAAGCCTTTGCAGCTGAACGTTGTCTCCATTCCGAGGTCCACCTGCAAGCCGTCTAGCTGTTTCTTCTTCTTTTGACGAGCAAGCTCTGCTTGATGCTGCCTCCGCAACTCCTCCTTAGTGGTCTCATGATTATCTGACCTAAGAACTGTTAGACATAAAGGGCTCAACGCCATTTGTTTCAGCCTTCACAGTCATTTCTTCCTCCTCATCTTCATTGAAAGAGTAAGCCACATCCTTAGCACCTTGGAACATTTGCCTGTCACCACTTCAGTATTTGTTCACCAACAATAACTGTATCCGCAAGTAAGAGAGAGAATTACTGCTCTTTGGTTTCTTACTCTCACACTGCAAGTTCTGAAAACCAAGTGACACATTGACCATTCCTGCTTTGACCAACCGGTCATTCTTCCCATTGTGATTAAGCCCTGACTCACGAACTCAAGACCAATTCCTGTTCCAGCAGATTTTGTTAGATTGGGAATCCAGTCAGGAGCCTCTTTCTCAACAATTGAAAATGCAGCTTGATACGCAGCACTAAATTTTCTCCCAGGCTTCAAAGCACCAATTGCAGCTTCATGGGCTTTAAGAAGAACCCCATATGCCTTGTTCTGAAGTGGAGTGGCATCTATCAAGATAGTTCGGGCAAGATTTGAGCAATAACTGTTGTAGCGAGCTCCAACTGCACATAAGATAACACTTGCAGAATCATAGTACAGGTTCTCGTCATTGCTTGCAGCACTAGGTCTGAGATCAAACTCGCCCCCACTTTGAAATATGGGAGGATAACAAATATCAACATTCTCCGGCTTAAGCTTTACTTTGGCTAGCTGTGGATTCACTATAGCTTTCTCACTTCATCCATCAAGGCAGCATGAGTAATTTTCTTCTCCTCATCAATTACACTTTCAAGCTTTGGAATCACAATATATTCATCACGTTGTAACTTAAATAAGCAGCTTTCTTGACATTCATAACCTCCTCTTTGTCTTTCACAGCAAATAGGTCAGATAAACCATTAGTTACATCAGTAAGCTGAAAGCCACAACTTTTCAGTTGTTCAACCCAAGTCTCTAAAAGCTTTCCTTCAGGAGCTTCTCGAGCTATGTAACCAAAAATAGGAGAATCATTTTCAGATTCCTTGCATTGTACCCTGACGGACTTAAATATATCATCCATCAATGAAACTCCATCATCGCTCTTTGCCTTCACATGCATCAACATCAGCCCCCACGGCCTCCTTCGCAGATTTCTTCACAACTTCAAGAAGAAGCTTTCTTCTGGCTACACAAGAAATGAATCTGCTTCTTTGTGAAAACAATTATAGTCTCGGGAACTCATAACCTAGCAACCAAATGTCTAGTGCTGATGATTTCAGATATCGCAAATCTTCTGAAGGGGGTGGTGTACTACTGCAAAAACGTAAGAAGAGCCCCAGAGTTCGGCATTGTGTTCATTCCAGTGCGAATACATAGCCTTCAGACGTTTGCTGAAATTGTCCAGATTAATAGAGTAAGTATTTCCTGATCCAGGAGCCGTCCCATTGGACGCTGGCTATTTGCACCTCGATGATCAGTCATTTAGGAGCTATTCTGCATAAGAAAGTAGGATCAATTATAACCAATATGTAAAACGTGGCGGCAAAATAAGGGAATTTCTTAACTAATAGTTGCACAGCAATTTCAACTAAGGATTTGGTTAGCTTTTTAGGAAAGCTTAAGCCACTTGAGAAACTACAAAAAAGCCAAAGAAGCAAATGCAATATCCCAACATGCCACAGTTCTCATGAAAAAGGATTCATCAAACTCAAATCAAAACCCAGGAACTTAAAATTCGAACAAGTTCAAGTTTCGCAAATCAATACTAGAAAACACATAAAAACCCAGCAATACATCTCGAGAACACCGATGGAATCTGTCTAACACTTCAACTTCCAATCAAACGAAACTCAAATTCAAACGTAAATTAGGGTTCGCTTGGTCCCAAATACTAAAAAAAAAGCACCGAAACAAAGGGAATACGGAGAGAAAAACTCACGTTTCCTCACTCTGCAAACGGTTTCCTGCAATTCCCGGCCTGGAATCCCCTGGCTTCGAGGGCGAATTAGGCTTATTGCCTCCGCGGCGGCCACACACTAACTTGTAGAACGAGGTATTATGATTAGGGTTTCGAATAGAGCAGCAAACAGAAACGGAACCCAAACTTCGAAGCTTGTATAACAAATCAATTAGCCCAAAAAGAGGAGAAACGAAGTTGGGGTGGGGCGAAGAAACTAAAGGAAATTCGGGGAATTTTTTTTCCCCTTCGATTTTGGGAATCGAAGACTTTAAGAGAAACAATGGAAAATCTGAGCAATGGGAATTGCAAGAGGGAAAATACATATATAAATGGCGGGGAAGGCAATTGTTTTGTATTAGATTGTCTTTTATCATATACGTCCACAGATTTACAATATAGGCCTGAGGTTTGACGGCCCAAATTATCTGAGGGGGTAAATTACATATTTCACCCCTCAACGTTTACTCACTTTACCTCTTATCCTTTTTTTAGCATTTTTAACCCCCACAACGTTTTATTTTGTCCCTAGTTGGATGAAAACTGTTAGTTGACTAACTGTTAATATTTCATAAGGACGTGTAGGGATGGGCATGGGACCCGACCCCGACCCGATGTCGGGTCGGGTTTTCTAAAAAAAAAATCGGAGTCGGGTCGGGTTTTTTTAAGTGTGATGTCCAGGTTGGGTTTTTTTAAGTGTGATGTTCGGGTCGGGTTTAAGGTGAAAAATACCAGACCTGACCCAAATAATATATATAATTTTACCTTATATATTTAGGAATAATTACAATAATATCTTTCTATATATAAGTTTTTTCAATTAAGTCATTATTTTTATTGAATAAAAATAATATTTTTATTATTATTTTGGGTCGGGTTGGGTTTCTAAGTTATATATCGGGTCGGGTGAACTCTTGTTTTGGTCGGGTCGGGTCTCAGGTGGAGGCTCCCTTGTTCTCAGATCGGGTGGACCAAAAACACGACTCATGCCCATCTCTACGGAAGTGGCAAGTCCATGTGTGATGCCACTTCAACAAAAAAAAAAATTAGAGTAAACTATAACTATAATTAATTATATAGACAATTATAAAAATGTATTTAAAATCATTCAAAAAATTATTTTTGATTATATGGCATCACACGTAGACCTGCCACATCTATAAGAAACGTTGATCGTTAGTCAACTAATGATTTCCATCTATGCATGGGGCATTTTGCTCCAAAATAAAACGTTGGGATTTAAAAAGCTTTAAAAAATAAGGGACAAAGTGACCATTTATGCAAATGTTGAGGGTATAATTTTATTATTACGCATTAAATTTTTTATTTGCTCCTATTTTAATTACTCAGGTGTTAAATCATAAATAGAATTGTGACATGTAACCACGTGTAGTGATACATGTTATTTTTTATTGACACGGAATCTATATAATATTTCTTTTTTTTCTTTTTATTATTTATTTCATCTTCTTCCTCTAAAGATAAACGTTTTACAAATTCATCCGTGTGTCACATCGGCACCGCAATTAATATTCTTTGATGTCTTTCTCGATCACTCAAGATATCGACGAACTTGTCTCCTTATCTCCATCACTTTTCCGGTTCAGATTTTACGTAAATCACTTTCAAACTTATAAAATTCAACCCTAAAATCAAAACTAGTCAAACCCCATACCGAAACTAATCTATAATATCTATATTTGATTAATATAAAATCAAGATGTACAACTCGCATCCTCCTTTTCATTATCTCCGTCATTAGGATTTGGACGAAGATGTTTCGTTATTGAGAATTCAAATAAAATTTGAAACAATGATTTTTTACTGTTACTTCTCCTTGCGTAAGTCTCTCCAGTCCAGTCAATGCTGATTTTTGCTGTTTGCTTTGATAGGTGACTCAATCTACTGATTTCACGGAGTTGGCGAACGAACAGCCGTGGCTTTCGTCCACCAGATTGGTTGTCAAACCAGATATGTTGTTCGGGAAACGTGGAAAGAGTGGCTTGGTTGCTCTCAATTTAGATCTTGCTCAAGTTGTTGAATTCGTTAAAGCACGCCTTGGCACTGAGGTAACTAGGGCTGTTCATTCGGTTAAAACCGGACCGAATCGAATCGAATTAATCGAATTTTTTTTCTTTAATCATTAATTGAACCGAACTTTTTTCGAACATATTAACTGAACCGAATAAATTTCGGTTAATTTTCGAATTAACCGATTTTTTTTTAAATTTTCTAATTTATATAAAAATTAAATGTTTTTTTAATTCAAAAAAAGTTTATAATTAATTTAAATAATATATAATTATAAATTAAAAATTTCAGATAAATTTTTTTAATTAATTAATATTGATTTAAGTTTTAAAATTATTGGATCTTAAATTATTAATTGAGTTTTAAATGGTTTGGGCTTAGCCCATATGTTATATATAATATATTTAATATTTTTTAATTAAAAAACAGTTTACAATTAATTTAAATAATATATAATTATAAAATAAAATTTTATATAATTTTTTTAATTAATTAATATTGATTTAGGTTTAAAAGTTATTATATCTTAAATTATTAATTGAGTTTTAAATGGTTTGGGCTGAGTTCATATGTTATATATAATATATTTAATATTTAAAATTTAATTTCGGTTAATTCGGTTAGTTAACCGAATTCGAACTGAATTAACCGTTAACCGAATTTTAAAAATTTTCTTAACCGTTAACCGATTAAACTAATTCAGTAACCGAACTAATTCGATTCGGTCGGTTAACCGAATTAATTCGGTTATTTGAACACCCTAGAGATAACAATTTTCTCTTACTGTTTCAGCTGCCGCCGCCATTTCTTATCAATTTTCTCTTAGTTAGTTTGAATGATCCTGCCAAGGGAAGGCTATCTATGGAATTCAGTACAATTAACAACCTCATTCACTAGTTTCAGAATTCATTTATATATAACACAGAGATAATTTCTCATTGAAACGAAATTTTGCATTCAGGTGGGGTAACATAGAGTTTCCTCTGCCTTTTGGGAGGGTCCTGAGCCCTACAGAGAGCTTCATTCATTCGTTGGATGAAACGGTAGTCATTCTTGTTGGAGCTTTTATTTCAGTACAGATCTCTTTCCACATGGTTGAGGGACGTTTCTTGATCACAATCTTTGCTTACATCACAGACAAGTGCATCTCTGAAATTCACTGTTTTGAATCCGAAAGGGCGTATCTGGACGATGGTTGCCGGAGGTGGTGCCAGTGTCATTTATGCTGATACAGTAAGTGATCTAGTGGATCTGTGTTTTATGCTTTCCATTTCACTGACCTTTATTGTTGTTTGTTGCAGGTTTGATATCCCTTGATGCCATTCTAAGGATTTATTTCTGTTTATTTAATCAGGTAGGAGATTTAGGTTATGCATCAGAACTGGGCAACTACGCGGAGGAGGTCTTGCATTATGCAAGAGTCGTTATCGATGTAAGAAACCGTGACCGGTTTACGCTTTTCTTATAGAAGTTTAAGTAATTTCATCATTCGAGATTTTGGGAAATTCTACTGATTTATGATGTTGCAGTGTGCCACTGCAAACCCCGACGGTCGTAAGAGAGCCCTTCTCATTGGAGGTGGCATTGCTAACTTCACCGATGTTGGTGCTACTTTCAACGGAATTATTCGAGCGTCGAGAGAAAAGGTATATTTCAGCTAAAAACGATTAAACCTGAGTTCATCGGTCGAGATTCTCCTTTGACATTCCAATCCGTTGAACTATGTTTTGATATAACAATTTAAGGTAAAATGTTTTTGGATTTGAATTGAATTTATTCAAAGTTTTCAAAAGGTTTCAAAAATAATTCAAAGTCCATTAAATTCGGATTTGAACAAAAATCTAAAGGGTGTCAAAGTGCATCCATGCATCTCTGCAGTGCATCCATGCATCCCTGCAATCCATCCATGCATTTGCACTAATGCATCCATGCATCATGCAATGCATCCATGCATCTAAACATCGAATGCAATTAGTGCATCGATGCATCTTGCTATGCATCGATGCATCCTTGCCATGCATCGATACATCCTGCGATGCATCCATGCATCAAGGCTGCAACGGCTAGTTTATTTGAATTTAATGAAGGGGTATCGATGCACCTTTATCATGCATCGATGCATCATGTTATGGGCAGCCTTTTGAGTAGAAAAATAATCCCCAAACGACTCCAAAACATCCCCAACGGATATATACAACATCAAACACATTCCAAGCTATAAATACAAGTTAAGGACACTTGAAGAAGCAAGAGAACAACTATCCAAACAATCAATCATAAGAGAAGAAGTTTTTCATTCTTATTTTCATTCTCTCTTGTAAATATTGTTCTTGTGAGCTAAATTCTTGTAAACACCTACCTTTGAGAGGTTTATTTGTTTACTTCTTTTATCCTTTTATAAAGGGAAAAGGTTCTAGCTTATCCCTTGTAAAAGTTAAGGAAATGTTCTAGTTTAGTCCGGAAAAACTAGAGAGATTGTAAGGTTACTCTTTATCCTCAAAAGAAAGAACAAATTAGTGAATTTGTTGGAAAATCCTTGGTGAGGAGCTAAGGTAGTGGACGTAGACTTTGATTGAGAAAGTCGAACCACTATAAATCGCTGTGCAATTCTCTATCTTTCAATCTCCTTACTCCCTAAACATAAAACCGTTCCGACCCCTCTTTGCAAACCGTTCCGGTTGTCGATTCGAGCTCCCGAAAATCCTAACACAATCCTTTATCCTCCCCTTCACTCCAGGAAGCCAAGTTAAAAGCTGCGAGGATGCATATCTATGTTCGAAGAGGCGGTCCCAACTATCAAACTGGTTTGGCAAGGATGCGTGCTCTTGGAGACGAACTCGGAGTACCCCTCGAGGTATGAGATCACTATCCACTCTTGTAAAAATGTTGTATATCATTCGACATCTTCAAGAGGCAACGATTATTGATGTCGTGTTATATTCATGAAGGACACAGTGGTATTACTACTTGACTATGTTACTGATTCTGGATACAGGTCTACGGCCCTGAGGCCACGATGACCGGCATATGCAAGCAGGCAGTAGATTGCATCATGTCTGAAGCATAAATATGCCATTCTTTTATTCTCCGAAGTCGAGCTATGCTGTCGATGCAGTTTGGTATTCTTCGTTCGAGTCATTAAGCCGGTTGTTTTGCGATAAAAAAACATGAAAAGTGGTTCCAATGTTTTAGCACGAACGTTTGCTATTTCATTGATCCTCGTCTGTCAGTACGTCTGTCTGGTCGTCTGTTGATCGATTACTTTGGTCATTGCCTCATTGGTGTTTCTGATAATGGCTGTGCAAACTATTCTTATGACTGAACCTATATTAACGTATATTTGATGAAAACGATAACGTATGCTAATGAAAACGATGACATGGCATGACGGTTAAGGGAAGAGTCCTTGTAATCTGCAACTTTTGACCACAAAATGAATGGAACAATTGGTGGTAGATATTGCAAAACATGTACTTCTCCAGGCTGGCTTGTGCAAAGGTGAATGACATTATTATGATGGACATGTACATATAACATTGTGTATGCATGTATGTATGTATGTATATTTAAGTACGTATACAGTACTTCATGATAATCAAATTAATTTACAAGCAAGAATCTCAAAATGAGCTAACCCTATTCAGTACACTTAACACTGAAACAATCATCTCTTCCATCTACAAGTCATACTACCACTCACCTCTTTCAAGAATCACTAACTTCGTTTCCGGCCTTATTTGAGTTCAGGGCTGCATCCGCTTGCTCTCCGACCTTGAACCTGCACAATCGCACCTATCGGTATCGGAGTTCTCCCTCTGCGAATATATTTCCATGCTGTTTCCATGAGTCCTATGATGCCTTCGGTCCTGATTTCAGAGACTTACCCGAGTTCATCGAAATGGAACAGCCAGATAAAACCACCATGCACTTCAGTATAATGACCAAGCATCATGCTAAGCAATGAATCCAACACTAACCTCTCTTGGTATAGGATACTCCTGGGACTCGAGCATTCGTGCAACTTGACCCATCTTCAGTCTTTTTCGCAATCCGGATTGACACATCTCAGAGCAGTTAGAAGGGCGTGTTTTAGAGCTCTTGTCGATGGCCTAATCTCGATATTCAGGTCTACCACTTCCTCTGACCTCCTGTTTCCGACCATCATTTTCAGCCAATCTACCAGATTAACCAGTAGACATTAAGATTCCGTGTTTAATTAACCTTAAAAACCTCTTAAAAGGACTAAAAATATATAAACATTAAGATTCCATGTTCGGTAAAGATCGTTCATCGTATCCATGATTGCAGTGTACCTCCTGGGCAGGACGGCCATAATCCACGGGATCTCTACCGGTGATTGCTTCCAACAGTACAACCCCAAAGCTATAGACATCTCTCTTTTCGTTCAAAAGGCCAGTGTTTGCATATTCCGGTGCCACTTATCTTTGAAATTTCAGAAGCAAAACATTGTCAAGAGATGACCAGAGGTCTTAAATATATAAAGACATGAAGGCGAACTAGAGAAAAACGAATACCCAAATGTTCCCATAACTCGGGTTGTAACATGACTTCTCCCGTACCAAGAAACTTTGCCAGACTAAAATCGGAAACCTTGGCATTGAAGTCATCATCGATCAGAATATTGCTGGACTTTATGTCTCGGTGCACCACCTTTGGTTCAATGGCCTCATGCAAGTAAGCAAGACTGCACAAAAAACCATGTCATATGAGAACTGGACTTATGACAACGTCGGTTGATTTAGTGACTTACGCCTTAGCTGTGCCGAGGAGAATCTTTACGCGAGCCTCCCAAGTTAGATATCCGTGCTGACGCATAGCTCCATGAAGCCATTGTTCCAAGTTTCCGTTGTTGACGTACTCTTAAACCAGCATCCTGCATTTTTAAACAGTGTACTTTGTTGACAGAAACTATGCAAGAATTTTATAGCGGGACTAACACTCGACTATACCTGTGTGTTCCTTCAATACAGTAACCTAAAAGTCGAACCAAATTCTTGTGGCGGACATGCCCAATGGCTTCAACTTCGACTCTAAATTCTTTCTCTGCTTATCCCTTGCAAAGATATAGGTAGTTTAGCTAAACGGGACTCCAGGATAAGAAATAACATCATACCTAAAGTCTACACATATACATGTTATACTCACAGTTGTTGAGTATCTTCTTAACCGCCACCGCCGTCCCGTTGATCAAATTGCCCTGATAAACAACTCCGTATCCACCCTCTCCAAGCACATTTTCCTTTGAAAACCGGTTAGTGGCGAGTTTGAGATCCCTCAATGTGAAGCAGTGACCCCAACCCAAGTGAGAGAATTCAGGTAGGCCAACTAGAGGAGAACGCGCGGTGGCATGATACGAAGAAGATGGTTTATAAACCGTCACGGTGCCACCGGAGCTCCCTTATCCTCCTGATTGAGACCCTGCACCGTCATTTTCGAAAAGGCGAAACGAACCCGACCGACTACTATTGTCACCACCATTCCTTGATTTCCACATCCCAAGATGAACCATGACCTTCTCAGAGTCTTTGTCACTGGACTTGTCATGAATGGTGAGAAGTATACCGTCACGCGGCACGAAATCGGTCGTCGATACTTGTTCAATTAGCACTTCCTTAATCTCCTTGGATATAGATGGGATTCGGGTAAGGGTAACCCTGCTTCTAGCTTTTGATCTCTTCTTCTTACAGGAAGTTAAACACAATAAGAGCAGTGTAAGTGATGATTATAATGAATAAAGCAGCAACAACAACAACAACAATAATCTCCCAGCCCTTAAAACCAAAAATGGCAGTCCTATTGGAATATTCTGCATTATGATCACTTGCCATTTTCTATTCTTACTCGAACTCTACATGATTGACAGAATTCATAAAAAATTCCATTAAAAATCATGTATTTCACTAATCATACATCATTAACAATTAATACCCAGATTCAAACACACCATTTTGCATGCAGAAAAGCAGAAAAAGCAAAGAATTTGATGCATAAAACAGAAGAAAAATAAACAAATGTGTCAACTTTCACCTTCCAGCAGTAAAGCTCAGATCTTTGAATGGATAAATCTCAGATCTCAGCTAAATAATGAAGCCCCAATGTGGCCATTTCCCCAGAAACAACAGCAGGTGAGCTAATTGAAGAAACCCAAATCACTCCAAAAAACAAAAAAGGAAAATCTGAAGGAAAAAAAGAAGTTAAATATGTAAAAGAAGATGACTGGTGTTCTGGGAAAATGTTGAGATGAATCTAAGCTGCCATGTAGCTATCAGATTCCAGAAATGAGTCCCTTGAAGATTTCAGTAATACTCGAGCTGGACTGTTTTATTTGCAATCATGGGAGGATAGACATGGAAATGGGATGGAATTATCAATGGTAGGTGATGAGTTTCCATGCCTTTCACCAAAATTAACATTTTCTTTATTAACACTTACTGTAAAACACAAGCAATGAATTTCAAAAGCATGAGTTTTGAAGATAAAAAGTCAAGTCTTGGTGTATCTGCGCTTAGTTGGTTGCTAAAGTGCCTCGCACTGACTTGGATTTTTGCTAAGAGAAACTCGGATGTCCTTACCGTTTCAGAGCGTAAAAAAAGACTATATTATATAACCCTAATTGTTATTGTTTCTACTATTATGATATTATTTACTGTTATCGCTTGAAGTCTTATTTATTGTTATTATGGAGTA